TGTATGTGACAAAACAAGGGAATTAACACCGAGGTTAATACTAGACCCACAATCAAACAGTAAATAATATTCTGGTTAAGGGACTACCAACTCAGGCCAACAATCAAATAGTAAATAGTCGAATCAGGGGTGTCAAACTGCCGGCCCGCAGGCCGGACGTGTCATCCGGAAGCCGCACCCCTCCCATTGCCGGCAATGGCAAAACTGTCCCGATACATTGTGCGACGTCACTTGACCTCGCGAGTTTGACATGTCTGGAATCAATAGAAGACTCCCACTAAGACTGATAGGGCAACCCAGTAGTACAGGGGAAGGCAACCTTGGCTCTTATATGACTAGTGGACTTCAACTCCCAGAATTCCTGAGCCAGCATGGCTCAGCTTGGAAACCTCTCCCTTTCCCCTCAGCGTGGCTGGCTCAGGAATTCTGGGAGTTGAAGTCCACCAGTCATAAAAGGGCCAAGTTTGAAGACCCGTGCTGTTAATCTTCGTCCTAGGATAGGGGAAAGCAACCTTGGCTCTTTTCTGACTCGTGGACTTCAACTCCCAGAATTCCTGAGCCAGCCACGCTGAGGGGAAAGGGAGAGGTTTCCAAGCTGAGCCATGCTGGCTCAGGAATTCTGGGAGTTGAAGTCCACGAGTCATAAAAGGGCCAAGTTTGAAGACCCCTGCTCTTAATCTTTATCCTAGGTAGGCAACCTTGGCTCTTTTACGACTCGTGGACTTCAACTCCCAGAATTCCTGAGCCAGCATGGCTCAGCTTGGAAACCTCTCCCTTTCCCCTCAGCATGGCTGGCTCAGGAATTCTGGGAGTTGAATCCACCAGTCATAAAAGAGCCAAGTTTGAAGACCCCTGCTCTTAATCTTTTGCCTACCCCTGGACTAGTATATACACACACAGAGAGCAAACCCCACACCCTTTTGGCACTGTGATCAATCCACAAAGGCAAACGTGTGTGTGTGTGTGTGTGTGTGTGTGTGTGTGTGTGTGTGTGTGTGTGTGTATGTGTGTGTGTTCTCTTTCCAGGCTGCTTCTGGCCCAGGTTCTTTTGTTCAAGGATAGCTCCCCTCCCCATTTTAGAGAAGAGGGGAGGGAACTACTTGCTGCCATGTGGGGAAAAACAAGCAGCATCAAACTGGGGAGAGGGGTAATAACCAGCTTAAGCCAAGGAGGCAGGGAAGGAGGGAGGGAGGGAGGGGAAATATTTATGGCCGGGCCATTTCCAGCAAACCTAATTTGCTTAATGAAAAATTGCAGAGGAAAAAAAAGTTCTGAGAATGTAATTTGGCCAGAGAGACACTGAACCGCAGATGGCGGCTGTGTTTTAGGTTCCTGGCTGGGCTGAAAAAAATCTCCTCAGCACCTCCATCAATCGTGGCTTAAGGGATTTGTATTGAGTAATTTAAAAAAAGGTACCTTGGTTTGTTTCTGGAAGGTTGGGAGGGAGAGAGAGGGGGGGGGACTTGGAAAACAAATCAAGGTATTCCCATATTCCCACATCAGATGGCTTCCCTTCTCTGTGTGGGAGCAAAATGGGGGGAAAGAGAGAGAGAGAGAGAGAGAGAGAGAGAGAGAGAGATGAATCAAGGTATTTCCACATCAGATGGCTTCCCTTCTCTTTGTGGGAGCAAAATGGAGATCAAATGCCCAACCCAGGAGATACACCCCATCTCTAAGTCACCAGTTGCTAATTAATGTGGCTCTTAACAGAAATCATTAACAGAGAACTGAAATGGGCAATGCCTCGTAGGTCCGTAGGTCGTAGAGAAGATGGAGCCCACAAGAACAACCTTGCAAATGAGTCCATAAAACAGCCTTCTCTCTCTCTCTCCTAGAGCCATTTTGTAGATGCCCTGTTTTATGACTCAGAATTCCCCAGCAGGCATGGTAGCCTGAACATTTAGGGGTCACAGCCACAAACCTTCCAGAAGCCATCAGACTGAATAGAAAGTAGAAATTGTGGGGTCTTTGGTGTTCTCTGTGCTTGATGGTTTTCTTGCATCGTCATCATCATCATCATAGTTGGAAGGGACCTTGGAGGTCATCTAGTCCAACCCCCTGCTCAGGCAGGAAACCCTATACCATTTCAGACAAATAGCTGTCCAGTCTCTTCTTTAAAACTTCCAGTGTTGGAGCATTCACCGCTTCTGGAGGCAGGTTGTTCCACTGATTAATTGTTCTCACTGTCAGGAAGTTTCTCCTTAGTCCCAGGTTGCTTCTCTCCTTGGTTAGTTTCCATCTGTTGCTTCTTGTCCTGCCTTCAGGCGCTTTGGAGAATAGCTTGACTCCCTCTTCTTTGGGGCAGCCCCTGAGATATTGGAAGAGTGCTATCATGTACCCCCTTGTCCTTCTCTTTGTTAAACTAGACATACCCAATTCCAGCAGCCGTTCCTTATAGGTTTTAGCCTCCAGACTCCAGACCTCTAATCATGTCACCCTTAGTCCTCCTTTTCATTAAAAACAAGAGTGGCATTTAATGCCACTTGGCTTTCTATATTTTTATACCTGGAAATTGCTGACTAAGCCATCCCACATTATGTTTTAGCCTCCAGTCCCCTGATCATCTTTGTTGCTCTTCTATGCACTCTTTCTAGAGTCTCAGCATCTTTTTTACATCGTGGTGACCAAAACTGGATGCAGTATTCCAAGTGTGGCCTTACCAAGGCCTTGTAAAGTGGTATTAACACTTCACCTGATTTTGATTTTGTCCCTCTGTTCATGCAGCCTAGCACTGTATTGGCCTTTTTGGCAGCTGGCTTATATCTAAGTGATTGTCCACTTAATTGTTGTAACTAGCAGGAAGTTTCTCTTTAATTCCAGGTTGCTTCTCTCTTTGGTTCTCAGATGCCAGAGTTCAAAAGCGCCAACGCTGCTATCCTCCTTCCTCAAAGTTCATAAAATGCCAGCGTACAATTTTATGCAAAACCGGAGCCAAGATAGTCATCTGCTTAGCTTGACTAATCCGTGTTAAATCTCTGTGTGAAACCACTTGTGGCTGTTTGTTATCTCTGTCCTTCAGCCCCAAACTTAACAGCCTGTGTTCTCGGTATCTTGTACCCATTAAGTCTTTGGAGATTCCTTCTTTTCCAATTTTTCTTATTTCTGGTCATTTTTCCCCCCAACCTTCTGGATACCCAGCCAAAGTAACCACTCTGCTCTTTTGTCCTTCAATCTCTCTCTTGTTTTACAGTCTGCACACAATTTTTTTTTTTTTCCTGGAGCGACAACTTGGCAAGATTTTCTTATCTCAATCAGCGTCTCATTTCCGGATGAGGAAAAACGCTTAATAATCTTCCATAGCTAATGTTTGGAACTATTATTTGAAATGTGAAATGTACACCCCCTCTCTCAACACACACACACACACACACACACACACTCCATCAGCCAGGCTTCCTATCCTGAGGAGACAATATTTGTAACTCGGACTTGAACTGTGTGCTCATTGGTGCTTAGTTGCTTTCTTATAGACGTTTCATGACCCAGCTAGGTAACATCAGGGCTTTTTTTCTCACAGAATGCCCAGAACAGAGTTCCAGCACCTTTTTTGGATGGAACCTTGTAGGGTAGGCAAGGCGGGTTGTATGACGTGTGTGAGTTCCCGCACCTTTTTTTTTTTTTTTTACAAAAAAAGCACTGGGTAACATCATCAGTGCTAGAAAGGAGTGGGACTTGCTCTCTGTTTATATAAACAGATCCCTCCCTTTCAGTATTTGTGGGAATGTTCTTGGTGCTTCCTCGATTAAGCTGTTGTTTACTGTTGGATTGTTTGTCTGAATCAGTATTTCATTGATTGGAGTGTCTTTTTTACTACTTGGTGATTGGTCTAGTGCAGGGTTAGGCAACCTTGGCTTTTTTATGATTGATGACGCTGGGGGGAGGAATGTGCATGAGAGTTTAGCTCAGTGTTTCTCAACCTTGACAATTTTAAGGCATGTGAACTTCAACTCCCAGAATTCCACAGCCAGCAATGCTGGCTGTGGAATTCTGGGAGTTGAAGTTCACATGCCTTAAAATTGTCAAGGTTGAGAAACACTGGCTTTAGCTAGACATAACAATACTGAACCTAGCGTGAGAACCAAGGTCATTGAAATAAGAGATGATAAGAATTGGTGGGCTGCAGAACTGGAGGGGAAGCCTGCATTTCAAACTAATTGGAGAATGTGATTTAGGACTGTTAATTGGAGGAGGGAATTGTGCTTTGATACTATGTGCTCAGGGGAGGGGAATTCAGATTTTGGCTTCGGTGCGGTCGCTATGCTTCTCAAATAAAGATTCCTTAAGGTAAGGAATGCCTCGAAGTTCTTTAAAGAGTTTCATCTGTGGGAACCATGACATATTACCTTGATATGTGATATTATTCACATGTTCACCATTTGAATCAGAATAAGACAGTTGGAAGGGACTTTGGAGATCTTCTAGTCCAGCCCCCTGCTAAAGCAGGAAAGCCTGTACCATTTTAGACAAATGGTTGTCCAATCTTTTCTTGAAGACCTCCAAGGATGGTGCACCCACAACTTCTGAAGGCAAGCAGTTCCTCTAGTTATTTGTTCTCCCTGTCAAGAAATTTCTCCTTAGTTCTAGGTTGCATCTCTCCCTGGATTAATTTCCACCCATTGTTTCTTGCCTTGCTTTGTGGTGCTTTGGAGAATAGCTTGACCCCCTCTTCCTTGTAGCAAGCCCTCAAATATTGGGAGATTGCTATCATGTCACCCATGGTCCTTCTCAGTGACGGGATTGAAATATATGAACTGCTGGTTCTCTGTGTGGATGCCACTTCCGGAAGTCCACTCTGGGCCACAAAAAATTAGCTACCGGTTCTGCCGAAGTGGTGCGAACCGGCTGAATCCCACCACCGGTCCTTCTTTTCATTAAACCAGACATACCAAATTCCAGCAACCGTTCCTCGTGTGTTTTAGCCTGATTATCTTTGTTGCTTTTCTCTGTACTCTTTTCTCAGTGTCTTTTTTAGTATGACTCTCTTGAATTTGTTTTTCCAGTGCACCTGTCGGAAAGACACTGTGAAGATCTCCATGGATGTGTTTGTGCGGGTGCTACAACCTGAACGATATGACTTATGGAAACAAGGAAAAGACATCACAGTCTTGGATCACATGAAGCCCACCCCTTTAACATCGCCTGAGCTGGAAGCCTGGAATGAGACCAAAAATGCCTTGAAGGCAAAGATGCTGCGCAGGTAAACAGAAACAAACAAACAAACAAAAAAACCCAACACACCTTACTTGTGCCTCCTTTCTGAATGTTGGCCGGTGCACAGGCACCACCCAAATTGTTTCAACTGAGGATGCCTCAGCTTTGCAGGTATGATGATGCCTGAGCAGCTGGAGAAAAGGATCCTCCCTTCTTGCTTGGTAGGAAGAATTTAAAGTGGAAGGGATATTCCTCTATAACAGTGTTTCCCAAACTTGACAATTTTAAGGCATGTGGACTTCAACTCCCAGAATTGCACAGCCAGCAATGCTGGCTGTGGAATTCTGGGATTTGAAGTCCACATGCCTTAAAATTGTCAAGTTTGGGAAACACTGCTCTATAAATTCTACTCCTTTTCCATAACAACGTTTTTGTGAAGGAGAAAGGGGCAGAAAAAGGAACAACTGTCTGATGAAGATGTACACATTCTGTAATTGGGCAAAACGGGGCATCCTGAGTGATCTTTTCAGGAACATTGATCACTATTTTGAGTACCGTATATTCCGGCGTATAGGGCGACCCGGCGTATAAGACGACCCCCTAGTTCGACGCCGGGTCGCAAGACGATCGATGCCGAGTCGCAAGACGATCGACGCCGAGTCGCATGCCTAGAAAGTCGTCTTATACGCCGGAAGCTATCTTATTTCCGGCGTATAAGACTACTCGGCGTATAAGACGACCCCTGAGTTTGGCGCCTGTTGCAACGCTCTCAAAAGTCATCTTATATGCCAGAATATACGGTATGCTAAATACCTCCATGTCATTCATCATACTCCCCTCTCTCTCTTTATCGATCTATTGATCTGTCAATCTCTATCTCTCATCTATTTAACTATCATTTATCTATGGTGCAGTGGTTAGAACCTATCTATTTATCTCTATCATCTCTCTATCTATCTAATTATATCATCTATCTAACTATATCATCTCTATCTATTTATCTCTATCACCTCTATCTCTATCATATCTCTATTTCTCTCTCTCTCTCTCACATCTATCTATCTATCTATCTATCTATCTATCTATCTATCTATCTATCTATCTATCTATCTATCTATCTAAATACGAGAGATAGGTAAGAAGGAATTCTGGGAGTTGTAGTCCACACATTTTTAAGAGAACCTAAGGCAAGGGAGCTTCTGGTTAGGCCATATAGGCTGGAGGTTAGTACACCCACATTTCACAGAGGCACTGAAATGCAGCGTTTTAAAACTCTTTTAATTACAGATAGTCCTCGACATGGAACCACAATTAAGGCCAAAGTTTTTCATTGCTAAGCGAGTTTTGGCCCAGTTCAAAACCTTGGTTGCCACAGTTGTTAAGTGAATCCCTGCAGCTCTTAAGTTAGTAACACGCTTGTTCAGTGAACCCGGTGTCCCCATTGAGTTTGTTTGCCAGAAGGTCACAAAGGGGGGGTTCACACATGACCACAGGACACTGCGACTGTCGTACGTATGAACCCCTTGCCAAGCATCTGAAGTTTAACCACATGACTTGTGAGGGTGTTGCAATGGTCATGAGGGTGAAAACAGGTAGTAAATCACTTTTTCCGATGCCGCTGCAACTTTGAATGGTCACTAAATGAATGGTTATAAACCAAGGACTTGTTGTTGTTAGTTGCGAAGTTGTGTCCGACCCCTGGCGACCCCATGGACAACATTCCTCCAGGCCTTCCTGTTCTCTACCATCTTCTGGAGTCCATTTAAGCTCACGCCTACTGCTTTAGTGACTCCATCCAGCCACCTCGTTCTCTGTCGTCCCCTTCTTCTATTGCCCTCAATCTTTCCCAGCATTAGGCCCTTCTCCAGGGAGTCCTTCCTTCTCATTAGGTGGCCAAAGGACTTGAGTTTCCACTTCAGGATCTGTCCTTCTAAAGAGCAGTCGGGGTTGATCTACCAGTAAATAAATTAATAATCTTCCTAATAATCCACCCTCAAGAGCTGCTTACAGCCCTTGGACCAACAGCCTTCCACTTTCTCATTTATCTCTGCAATTTAATCATCATAGTAACCCACAACCCATTTTTCCTCCCTTCACCCCCCCCCCCCCATTGCAGTCCATACCCACAATTTTCTCCTGTGATATTAAATGAAAAAACATATTTTCTCTGCTCCGGCTGAGTTGCTAGTCTGCTTGGAAACCTCTATGACTATAAATCAGCTATTTGGATCGAACGGACTGCTGGCTGGGGATCCTGCTTTTCAAGTCGACTTTTTAATATTTCCTTCTCTTTCCTGGGATGTAGCTGTTGACTGTTGCTGCCTATCAAGTACGATACACTGGGGTGGAAAATTTGTCAGGGCTTCTGTTTGTTTGAGCTGTCCGTTTTCTGAAGGAAATTTCCTTCCCTGTGCAGACAACGACGCCCGATAACAACGAACACCCCCCCCAAAAATGTGTATTCTGGCATGTGAAAATTTTGGAAATGTTTTTTGTTTCGGTAGCCAGGATTTATTTATCACTCAGCCATTGAATCCTATCTGCGGGGAGAGCCTTGCTTCATTTTTTTGTCTCCCAACTGGCCTAGCTTAGTGGAAGTTATTGGGTTGACACAGTTGCTGTTTACATAATGGTTAATTGATTGTGGCAAAAGCTTAATTGGTCAACAGAGCGGGTTGTCAATAGTGAGCAGTGATCCCATTTCACAAGGCTTCAGTTGGAGGAGTTTAGAGTTTAGAGTTTGGGCAGCTGTGTCAGGGAGATAATCAAGTGGGCCACCAATTCTTCTGCTTCCCCCACAGTCAACGTGGCATTAAAGCAATATTAGAACTAAGGAGAAACTTCCTGACAGTGAGAACGATTAACCAGTGGAACTATCTGCCTCCAGAAGCGATGGATGCTCCAACACTGGAAGTTTTTAAGAAGAGACTGGACAGCCATTTGTTCGAAATGGTGTAGGGTTTCCTGCCTGAGCAGGGGGCTGGACTAGATGACCTCCAAGGTCCCTTCCATCATCATCATCATCTATTATTATTATGAATCATCACACAGTCAGCCAGATGTTCAGACTGGATTTGGCATTTTGTCTACCTATCGAGTCCTTACCCAGGACCTGGGATAGGCAGATGTGGATGTTTGATGGTATTACAGTATCGTCGCAGGATGGAAGCAGTTCCTAATAAGGCCGCCTTTTGCAATTGACTAATAGCGAATTTGTCAATGCCAATGGTGTTCAAGTGGTGCTCCAGTTGTTTTGGGATTGCACCCAAGGAGCCTATGACTATTGGTACTACCCTTGCTTGCTTTTGCCACAGTCTTTCTATTTCTATTTGTAGGTCTTTGTATTTTGTTATCTTCTCCAGTTCTTTCTCGTCTATTCTGCTGTCTCCAGGCACTGCCACGTCCACTATCCAGACTTTTTTGTCTTTCTTATCGACAATTGTTAAGTCTGGGGTGTTATGTTGCAGGTGCTTGTCTGTTTGAATTCTGAAGTCCCAGAGCAGTTTAATTTTATCATTTTCTATGACTTTCTCTATTTTATGATCCCACCAGTTTTTGCTTACAGGCAAATGATATTTTTTGCAGATCTTCCAATGCACCATTGTTGCTACTTTGTCATGCCGCTGCTTGTAATCAGTCTGTGCAATCTTCTTGCAACAGCTTACCAGGTGTCCACTGTTTCTTCAGCTTCTTTGCATAGGCGGCACTTACTGTCTGTTGCTGTCTATTAATAATAATAATAATAATAATAATAATAATAATAATAATAATAATAAGAAGAATAATAATAATAATAATAATAATAATAATAATAATAATAATAATAATAATAATAATAATAGGCCTCCAGATCATCTCCAGGGCCCAAGCCCAACTCATAATTTTATGAGTCTGAATTTTTCAAAGGGAAAGAACATCATACCTTCTTGAACAATATATAAAGGACTGAGTCTTCCTCAAAGGATATTGGCTGAGGAGTCTTGGTTTCCTGTGGAGGAGGAGATGGGAAGATTGGTGGAGTCTTCTCCAGAAGTGGAACAGATCCTGAAAAAAAAAAAGAATCTCGCCTCAATTATGGGGTCCTCATCACTCCTGGTGGAGAAGTCTCTTGTCCATCCTTCAATAACTTGGCAACGGATGGAAACTAATGAAGGAGAGAAGCAATCTAGAACTAAGGAGAAACTTCCTGACAGTGAGAACAATTCACCAGTGGAACAACCTGCCTCCAGGAGCAGTGAATGCTCCAACATTGGGGGTTTTCAAGAAGAGACTGGAGAGCCATTTGTCTGAAATGGTATAGGGGTTCCTGCCTGAGCAGGGGGTTGGACTAGATGACCTGCAAGGTCCCTTCCAACTTTATTACTATTATTATTAAAAGGAGAAAAATCTTCACACAAGGCAGCTCAGTATCAAAGGTGGTCTTCGACTCACGACCACGGTTGAGCCCCAACATTTCCCTCGCTAAGCAAGACAATTCTTCCGGGAGCTGTGCCCCATTTGGCCACCTTCCTTGCCAACTGTTCTTCACGGCAGGTGTTAAGTGAGCCACACGGTCGTTAAGTGAATCTGGCTTCACTCATTGACTTTGCTCGGAAGAAGGTCACAAAAAGGGGATCACGTGACCCCCGGGGACACCGCAAACCATCGTAAATGTGAGCCAGTTTGCCGAGCGTCTGAATTTTGCATCATGTGGCCTTGGGGGATGCTGCAACGGTCGTAAGGGTGGAAAAAACAGTCGTAAGTGACTTGTTTCAGTGCCGCCATCACTTTGAGCAGTCACTAAACGAATGGTTGTAAGTCGAGGCACACCTGTACAAGTTGCACTGGAGAAACTAGGACGGCACAGACCTGCAGAGTCTTTTCTACCTTTACGCTCTTGATGCGCCTAAAACGTGCTTTAGAGTGTAAAGCAGTGGTTCTCAACCTGTGGGTCGGGACCCCATTTGGGGTCGAACAACCATTTCACGGGGGTCGCCAAACAACGCAGTCCGCCATTTTTTCCCCCTTTTCCTTAGCTGTGCTACTCCCTTTTATTCTATTGGCTTTTGAAAGCCAATAGAATAGACTCTCTTGAATAGAGTCTAATTCTATTGGCTTTCAAAAGCCAATAGGAATTGTCCAGGCTGTCTCTGCCCTGCTGAGCCTGCCAAAAGTCCCATTCTGCAAACGGTGCTGCACCAGTTGAGTAGTCCTCGACCTACGACCGGTTGAGTAGTCCTCGACTTACGACCGGTTGGGGGGGGTCGCGGCATTAAAAAGGTTGAGAACCACTGCTTTAGAGTGTAAAGGGTAATCCTCAACTTATGACCAGTTGCTAGGTGGCCAAAGTTGCAGCAGACCCCCCCCCCAAAAAAAGTTATTTAGGATCTGATTCTGTGGTTACGGCCATTGCCCCCGACGTTTGCTCATCTTTACGACTGACCTCAGGGATGCTGAAGCACTCCACTAGCTGTCTCCCCTTCATCCCCCTCCCCATTAAGCCTTCCCACCCCATCGGGTCTCCCACCATCCTCCTCCTCCTCACCTTTTCAAAGATCTCCAGCACTCCTCAGGTTAGGGAAGGAGAACAAGGCCACGTAACTCGATCCCAGAAGCGGCCACCATTTTCCGAGTAGACGCCTTGAATTGTGGCGATTCTGAAAATGGCGCACGCTTCTGGGATCCTGCCGTTCTCCCTAAACCAAGCAAGGGAAGGCGAATAAGCCATCTCTCAGGGGAAAGGAGACGTAGGCGCCAACCAGCCACCTCCTCCCTGGCTGTGAAATAAAGAGTAGGGGGTTGGGGAGTGGCCTGTTGCCGCAGACAAACCATCCATTTTCCAGGTCACATCAATCAAATTGGATTCCTTTGCCAAAACCAGGTGTGTCAGGGCAAGCGGCTCTGTCTCTGATAGGTAGTGAAGTTGCCTCAGCCGGTGTGTGAACAGGGACTGTTTCTGCTTGGCTGAATCCTTGAAAGACTTTCTATCTGGAGTTCTCAAGAGACTGTTCTTGCCCCGTGTCGGAAGGGGAAAAGACTTTCCTTTGTCCCTGCTTGTCATGGTTCTGGATGTTTTTGCTTTGACAACAGTTGGAGATGCAACCATTTTCTTCTTATGTTTTATTTTTAGAGCAGTGGTTCTCAACCTGTGGGTCGCGACCCCTTTGGGGGTCGAACAACCCTTTCACAGGTCGCCTAAGACCATGGGAAAATTTTTATTTTATTTTATTTATTTTATTAAAATTTATAGACCGCCCCACTCCCGCAGGACTCCAGGTGGGTTTACAATAAAAACACAACATAACTTGACAAACAAACAATACAGTAACATTCATCCAGGGGTCAGATTTTATAAACCCCAGGCCTGCCGGAAAAGCCAGGTCTTAAGCAGCTTGCGGAAAACCAACAGGGTGGGAGCGGTCCTAATCTCCGGGGGGAGCTGGTTCCAAGACGTGGGCGCCATCACAGAGAAGGCCCTCCCCCGAGGCCCTGCCAAATGGCACTGCTTGGCCGACGGGACCTGAAGGAGGCCCAGCCTGTGGGATCTAACCGGACGAAGGGAACTATGAGGTAGTAGGCGGTCTCGCATATAGCCTGGTCCTGAGCCATATAGGGCTTTAAAGGTAATAACCAACACCTTGAATTGGACCCAGAGACCAATAGGCAACCAGTGCAGCTCACGGAGGATAGGTGTAACGTGGGTGTACCGAGGAGCACCCACTATCACTCGCGCGGCTGCATTCTGGACCAGCTTTGGTCTCCGAATACTTTTCAAGGGTAGCCCCATGTAGAGCGCGTTGCAGTAGTCCAGACGTGAGGTGACAAGGGCGTGAGTGACTGTAAGGAGAGCCTCCCGGTCCAGGTAGGGTTGCAACTGGTGCAACAGACGAACTTGTGCAAAGGTCCTCCCAGCCACAACCGTCAAATGATGTTCCAATTTCAGCTGTGGATCAAGGAGGACACCCAAGTTGTGAACCCGCTCCGAACACATATTTCCTATGGTCTTAGGAACCGAGATACCGCTCCTCTATCCGCCTCCGCACGGCTTCAAGCTGGGGGCCATTGCAGCGCCGGATTCGTTTCTGTCGAGCATCTCCTAAGGGAGGCTGCACTGCTTTGTGGTCCTTTCCGCGGATGAGGCTGAACTAAGCTCTGCTGGCGCTGGCGCCCTTTTGGCTCTCTCCCTCTCCCCGCCTGGGCGCTTCTCCAACCAGGCTGGGCGGAGCCGGCAGAGTGGCCTTCCTGTTGGGGGTCACCACAACATGAGGAACTGTATTAAAGGGTCGCGGCATTAGGAAGATTGAGAACCACTGTTTTAGAGTTAGATGATGCTGGGGGAGGGAGAGAATGTGCATGAGAGTTCAGCTAGACATAACAATACTGAACCTAGTGTGAGAACCAAGGTCATTGAAATAGGAGATGATAAGAATTGGTGGACTGGAGAACTGGAGGGGAAGCCTGCATTTCAAACTAATTGGAGAATGTGATTTAGGACTATTAATTGGGGGAGGGAGTTTTGCTTTGATACTGTGTGCTCAGGGGAGGGGAATCCAGTTTTTGGCTTCGGCTGTGTTAGTGCCGACACTATACTTCTCAAATAAAGATTCTTTAAGTTAAACAATGCCTCGAAGTTCTTTGAAGAGTTTCATCTGTCGGAACTATGACATTAAACCAAAAACTGGAAGGTTTCCGGCTTCTTGGATATTATTTATTTGATATGGCAAAATGGAAAGGCTCTGATGTTTTGGCATTATTGTGCCCAGTGTTAATATCTGGAAAATACTTGTTCACAATAAGACGCCTGAGGAAGGAGTGAATAAGAGGGTTGAAATGTGAATTCTTCCCTGTAATATCAGTTACCCAGCAGTTCTTCAGAGTCTTCACTACATTATTCCACTTGCTTTAATCCAAGGTGAGACTCTTAAGGGACCTCGTCCTTCTTACGACTTTGTAGCAGTGTGAACTAGACCATATAGTTTAAAATCAATGACAGTAAGATCTAGTTGTCATTCGTTTTTACCATTTACAGCTATCAGAAAGATGCTAAATGGACCAAAAGAGTTATCATCTGGAGCAAAGTAAAGGCAGAATTTGAAGTACAGTTGGACACAGATGATGAACGTGTAAATAATAATAATAATAATAATAATAATAATAATAATAATAATAGTTGGAAGGGACCTTGGAGGTCATCTAGTCCAACCCCCTACTCAGGCAGGAAACCCTATACCATTTCAGACAAAATGGCTGTCCAGTCTCTTCTTAAAAACTTCCAGTGTTGGAGCACTCACCGCTTCTGGAGGCAGGTTGTTCCACTGGTTAATTGTTCTAACTGTCAGGAAGTTTCTCCTTAGTTCTAGGTTGCTTCTCTCCTTGATGAGTTTTCATCCGTTGCTTCTTGTCCTGCCTTCAGGCGCTTTGGAGAATAGCTTGACTCCCTCTTCTTTGGGGCAGCCACTGAGATACTGGAACACTGCTATCATGTCCTCCCCCCTCATCCTTCTCTTCATTAAAGTAGACATCCCCAATTCCAGCAACCATTCCTTGTATGTTTTAGCCTCCAGTCCCCTGATCATCTTTGTTGCTCTTCTCTGCACTCTTTCTAGAATCTCAACATCTTTTTTACATCGTGGTGACCAAAACTAGATGCCATATTCCAAGTGTGGCTTTACCAAGGCCTTGTAAAGTGGTATTAACATTTCATGTGATCTGATTCTATCCCTCTGTCAATGCCGCCCAGCACTGTGTTGGCTTTTTTGGCAGCTGCAGCACACGGCTGGCTCCTATTTAAGTGATTGTCTACTAGGACTCCAAGGTCCCTCTCTCAATTATTACTATTGAGCAAGGTACCCCCTATACTATACCTGTGCATTTGGTTTTTCTTGCCTAAATGTAGAGTCTTACTTTTTTCGCACTTGAATTTCATTTTGTTAGATAACGCCCATTCTAAAATGTATAAACGTTTGTCGAAATTCGAAAGGGAGGAACGGACAGGTTAGATTACTTTCTTCCCACCCACTGCCCAGTTCTCTGCAAAGAGAGAGAGAAAAAAATCCTGCAAATTTACTTTTCTGGGATTTTCCTGGATGCCCAACATGATACCCACATACCACCTTTGCACCTGAGTGCAGTCCATGGATTTTTTCTCCATGTTTGCTCTGGCCAGTCAAGGGCTCAGGAGTGCCCCTCAACAACCTTCCCTTTTCACCTTTGTCGTCTTTTCCAAATCTAGGGCAAACAGGAAACGAAGCCAGCCCCGGAGGCACAAGACCCAGGATCAGAAGTCCCTCGTGGACGCTATGGCCATGGACACGACCTTGGAAGAGGTGGGAGAGAAGGATGATCAGAGGAGGGTCCCCAATCTGGACGAAGAAGACAAACATAAAGCATCAGACAGCAAAGAAGGTAAGCTTGTGGCCTTGGGTTGCCTACCTTCCTCTCCGTTGCAGAAATACGGGAGCGTTCCCGACATTATTGGGTTTTTTTTTGCTGCTATAGCAGTGGTGGCGAACCTACGGCACGGGTGCCAGAGGCGGCACTCAGAGCCCTCTCGGTGGGCGTGCGCGCTGTCACCTCAATCCTAGGCCTTCAGCTGGGTTTTGTAAAACCTTTTCGCTTTAGGCCTCTACTGCCATGTGCAAAAAAAAAAAGGTTCAATCAATCAGTCAATTTCAACTTCTTGCGGGGGAAAAAAGATCTTGCAAAGTTGGAATTGATTGATTGAACTTTTTAGTCCCACCCAGTCTGCCGTTACCACCACAGCCATGCCTACCCAATTGGCCATGCCCTCCCAATGGGCCACACCCACCCAATCAGCCACGCCCACCCAATCAGCCATGCCCACCCGGCACCCGACGATGCATAAGTGGGTTTTGGGTTGCAGTTTGGGCCTTCTAAAAAGTTCGCCATCACTGTGCTGTAGTCTCTTTTGATCCCTTGCAGGTGATGTCACAATTTTGGTTCCAATCTTGTCTAAAAGAGGCATGGTGAGAGAGTGGGATTGATTTGGCCAGGAATCTTTTTTTTTTAATAATTTTTTATTAATAATACAAAATTAAAAACACATTGGACAGAGATATGACGTCACTGGTTCCATACATCTTCCGACATTTTACAGTAGTATTAGTACTCATATAGACATATAGTTCTTGAGCTTTGCTCATTATTTATAATATAATATTAACACTTTTCCCCTTATTTCTGTATATCTATTTATCTTTTAAATACACATTTGTCTATAATCTATATTTTATTCTAACACTATACGTTTGTCTTGGCTACCCTCTTATTGTCTATCCAATCATAAAATTATTCCCAGAGTTTGTAGTACTTAGTTTCACTTTTATCCTTGGCCAGGAATCTTTATATCAGGGCTCTTTAAACTTGGCCACTTTAAGACTTATGGACTTCAACTCCCAGAATTCCTCAGCCAGCCCTGAGGGCTGGCTGAGGAATTCTGGGAGTTAAAGTCCACAAGTCTTAAAAGTGGCCAGGTTTGAAGACCCCTGCTTTATATAGTAGCCCTGATGGTGTTATCTAATTTGGAAATGAAACGTCTGCAAGAAAACAACCAAGCTCAAGAGAGAACCAAGAACCCCTCACTTCAACCCTGAGCTACAGATATTCTTCTTGGATCTTTTATTTAAAATGCCAGCCCGCTCTCTTTGATCTGTGGGGCCTTGTAGATGCCCTTGTCTGATTTGAAGCAACAGTCAAAATCGTTGAGGTTTTCAAAGCGGACTATTATATATCCACAAAATATTCATTTCTTATTTTGATAAATAACTCGAGGTGGTGAAAATATCTTAATACTTCTTCCTCCTCCTGTTTTCCCCATAAAAAACAACCCTCTGAGGTGGGCTTTGGCTGAGGGAGGCTGACTAGCCCAGGGGTAGCCAACCTTGGCTCTTTTATGACTGGTGGACTTCAACTCCCAGAATTCCTGAGCCGGCATGGCTCAGCTTGGAAACCTCTCCATTTCTCCTCAGCATGGCTGGCTCAGGAATTCTGGGAGTTGAAGTCCACAGAGTCATAAAAGAGCCAAGGTTGCCTACCCCTGGTATAGGTAGCCCTCACGTTACGACCATTGGTTCAGCAACTATGACAATCGCAACTAGCCCAAAGTCACCCACCAAGGGTGGGATGAGCAGAGCGAAAGTCTGTTAAGCCTACTAGGCTTTCAACAAGTTGTCAGTGTGAGTTGGGAGCTGCATTCCAGAGTGATCCCTTGTTTGTATGGCTGGCTGTTTGCAGAAAGTGAGGATGTGGGCTTATTGCAGTATTCCCTCGACGTCGGGTCACAGAGCTCAGCTTTCTTCCCATGTTATTTAGCAAAACGCCGCTAAAAAAAAAATTTGTGTGCTGAATCGGTATCAACGTTCAAGCAATCTCCAGCTTCTCCTCTAATCTTCATGGAACCCAGGAGAGCCAATGGATGTCCCAGAAAAGGACCAATAAGTTGAGGCTCTATATTTATTTTATTTTATGGGTTTATTCGGCAAACTTATATAGCCACCCATGTCATGGCGTACAACAATCCCATCTATCTAGACAAGACAAAGACAGCCAGTGTTGGAGAACAGGTGATCTGCCCAGGGGAGAGAAATTGAGTCTGTTCTCAAGATGTGGGGTCCTTGATGCTCTCTGAGCTTGGCGGTTTCCTTGCAGACATTTCATTCCCAAACTAAGTAACCTCGTCAGTGCAAGCTAGGGGCCTTATTAGATGAGTCCCTGGAGATGTGCTTTCTTTGCCGTGGCACCCAGCCTATGGAACATTCTTCCCTCTGAAATTAAATTAGAATAGGATAGAGCAGTGGTTCTCAACCTGTGGGTCGGGACCCCATTTGGGGTCGAACGACCATTTCACAGGGGTCGCCAAACAACGCAGTCCGCCATTTCCCCCCCCCCCTTCCTTAGCTGTGCTACTCCCTTTTATTCTATTGGCTTTTGAAAGCCAATAGAATAGAATCTCTTGAATAGAGTCTAATTCTATTGGCTTTCAAAAGCCAATAGGAATTGTCCAGGCTGTCTCTGCCCTGCTGAGCCCGCCAAAAGTCCCATTCTGCAAATGGTGCTGCACCAGTTGAGTAGTCCTCGACTTACGACCGGTTGAGTAGTCCTCGACTTACGACCGGTTGGGGGGTCGCGGCATTAAAAAGATTGAGAACCACTGGAATAGAGTAACAGAGTTCAAAGGGACCTTGGAGGTCTTCTAGTCCAACCCCTGCTCAGGCAGAAAACCCTATGTCGGGGGTCACCAACTTTTTGTGGATTGGTGGCCAGGTGGGAGAGGGAGGAGCAGGCGCCTTACGCGCACATGTGAAAAAGTAAATGTGGCCACACGTCCATACGTGCGTGCGAACAAACAGGCTGCAAGCATGCGCACTATGCAAACGGGGCTGTGAGTATGCACGCAAGGCTCTCGGTGACGGCAGCACCTGTGTGAGGCTTGTGGTGCCGCTGCGGCCAGGCTCACAGCGATGCTACCACCAGCATGAGGCTCGCGCCACGGCCCACAACAATGCCGCCCCAGCACGAGGCTCACACCGCTGCCCCCGCGCGAGAATCGCGCCGTGGCTGCAGCAATGCTGCCCTGGTGCGAAGCTCGTGCCACCGCCACTGCACAAGGATCGCGACCCATAGCGATCCCACCCCAGCACCAGGCTCGTGCCACCACCCTTGCGTAAGGATCATGCTGTGGGCCACCTGCTGCACAAGGTTCATGGGAATGCCGCCATCTGCGTGTTGTGTGCTGCCACCCACCTGCTGCTTGTGGCACTGCTGCCACCCGCGCAAGGTTCATGGCAACAGTGCCGCCCGCACGATACTAGCGGCAACCGTGGCACGATGGGGGTTAAGCACTGCCCAGCTACTCACACGGCCCGGTGGCCAAGAGGCCACAGCCTGGTCGTGGGCCAGGGCCCATAGGTTGGGGACCTCTGCCCTATATCATTTCAGACAAATGGCTGTCCAGTCTCTCCTTAAAGACTTCCAATGTTGGAGCATTCGCAGCTTCTGGAGGCAGGTGGTTCCACTGGTTAATGGTCCTCACTGTCAGGAAATTCCTCCTTATATTCTAGGTTGCTTTTCTCCTTGCTTAGTTGTTAGCTCCATCCCTTTTGGTATTCTGAAACGTCCTCCAGACCTGGTTAGGTTGGAGCCACCAGAGACTTTGCTCAGATGGCTGCATTGTTGAGGGAGCCATTTTTTTAAATCTCTTTCCTTTCTCTGGTTGCTCTTTTTTTTTTCCTTTTCACTTTGATGATAGTCCTTACTATGGATTTTTAATATTTTGCATTTTTGTTTTTCATCTGTTGTTCTTTACTGGATTGCTGCATGCCACCCCAGGGGTGCTCACAGCGAGACGGGAAGGAGGCTAAATCTATTTGATTAATACATCGGTAAATTTTTAAAACAGGCCATACTTTTCATCCATTCGTGGAGAGTCAGTAATAATAATAGTGTTGATTTGATGGGAGATCTGACTCAAGATCCTGAGCCGGTTCAGCATCCTTACATGCCAGCAGGCCTGTTTTCTCCCACTCCTCAAGAAAGGAACTCCCCCTTCCCCTCCTCCCCCCCCCAGTGTGTGTGTGCATCCACAACATTGTGCAACCAGAGCCAGTGGCTTTCTCCCGTTGGGTCGCAAAAACAGCAGCAGCACATTGAGCACTGCGTGCTTGGCTTTTGCGTAAGACTCACACACACACACACACCATTATAGCATGGAATCAATGGCCTGAAAAATGTCAACGTCTCCTGGGGGGGGATGAGAGATAAGTGGCAGAGGAGCCTGGAAAAGAGGAGGGGGGAAGAGAGGAATTGTTGTGTTTGAGGCGAACAGCTTTTAAACAAGAGCTACAGGCAACTGCACAAGCGACGGAAGTCTTCCTTGGCGGCTGAGCAGTTTTAGAATAATAATGATGAAGAAGAAGAAGAAGAAGAAGAAGAAGAAGAAGAAGAAGAAGAAGAAGAAGAAGAAGAAGAAGAAGAAGAAGAGGAGGAGGAGGAGGAGGAGGAGGAGGAGGAGGAGGAGGAGGAGGAGGAGGAGGAGGAGGAGGAGGAGGAGGAGGTGGTAGTGGTAGTGGTAGTGGTTGGAAGGGACCTTGGACGTCATCGAGTCCAACCCCCTGCTCAGGCAGGAAACCCTATACCATTTAGGACAAATGGCTGTCCAGTCTCTTCTTAAAAACTTCCAGTGTTGGAGCATTCACTGCTTCTGGAGGCAGGTGGTTCCACTGGTTAATTGTTCTCACTGTCAGGAAGTTTCTCCTTAGTTCCAAGTTGCTTCTCTCCTTGATGTGTTTTTGTCGCTCTTTCTGGGACGGGGCTGTCATAATCCTGCTGGGCTTGGCTCTCCTCAGTTAACCAGAGCCCTTTAGGACAGGGGTCTTCAAACTTGGCCC